ATAGCTTTAGTAGATAACCATTAACCATCGATTAATGAAGCCATCACTTACAATAAAAAACTCTTTATATAAAGGGTGCCTTAGAAAGTAGTACATATAGTGAATCGACAGAAAATTAATCAGCAAATATTTGAATAATTAATCAGTTGTCATTGTAATTTTTATATTTTCAATAGTTCTGACTTCTTAAATATGAATATTAGCTGTTTTATAACTCTTCTAAAATAGTAGATTAAATATATTTAGGCTTTGTGTAATTGTGATTGTGGTATTTTTTTAGTTCAGAAAAAAATTGCATATAAATCATTAGTTGCACTCCCAATTCCATACAAAGTCTGTGGAATTGAATATATAAGAGCTTTTTATTTTAGGTTTCACAAGCCCCTCTCCTCACCTACAACACAGACATAAAAAACATTTAAAAGAAAATCATATCTAATACAGAAACTCTTTCAGGCTGAGTTTCCTGAGGACAAAATCTTCCACACACCAAAGTGAGAGACCTGCGGTCCAAAAACAGTATTTTTTTGGGTGGGGGGGGGTGGTGGTCTTTGACTTGGAAAACTTTTGCAGTAACCTCTCCTGCCTGCTTTGGCCTGGAGGAAGCTGTCAGTGTGTGTGTACTCTGCTTCACAGACCAATGAGCTCCGGAGCTGGGCGGGCTTCCAGGCGTGTAAAAAGCAAAAAAACAATAATACACAAGAGCCCAGCAACAACTTGCCGAGCCTTGCCACCGAGTCCGGACTATACAGCTGAACCACCGATTCCCACATCCAGGGGGAATAAAAAAGAAAAAGAAAAAAACGCGTCCTAACTGTGGGAAAGACCATTTGGGCAGACTAAATTATCTCGGTTTAATCTAATGGACCATAAAAGCAATAAAACATTCTCCCGATTCAGAGGAGTCGAATAATTTGCTTGATAGCGTGTTCATTAATTTATTCCCGAGTGCGAAACGAGCAGAAAAAAAAAAACAGCCTTAAAAAAAAAAAAAAACATTTAATGACTGACATTCATCTGTGCTCGACCATAATCTAAATAATGAACTTCACTTGTAATGTATGTACAGAGACAACAGCAGACTTTTAAAGCTATGGTACAATCACAAACCTCAGTCATATGGGGAACTTTAATACCTTTTTGGGGTTTTCGGGAGATTACGCTTTGGTAAACAAGCACACACGCACAATTTCAAATAGCCTGAGCCTCTCCTTTTTTCTTTTCTTTTTTGCTCAAAACACATTTCACTCGGGGCTTATTGGAGAATTTAATGAAATCCCTTCATTCATCAAAGTCTACTGAATTGCCTGTTATGATCACAATAAATCAAGCCTTTGCTTGCCTTCTACTGTATCGCAGCTAGAATAAACCAACAACACACGCAATATATCAGCCACCAACGCTCATAACATTTCAGCTACTGAACTATTTCAACTTTTTCTTTTTTCTCCAACCGAAAGGAAGAACAGATCTGCAGTCTCCAGTAGGGATTTTACAGTTCCCGGAGTTTGGGAGGCGATTTGAAAATGAAAATATAGCTGGAAAAAACACACGCAAGCTCTAAAATTCAACCCGATAAATTGTCTTACCTTCAGGTTCTGGTAGGCTTCGAGGGTCCGGATGGCAGTGTCAGTGAGTTTGACGTGGTAGAGTGTTTGATTCGGGGTGTTTTTGTTGATTTTGCCACAGGAGAGCCCATACCGATGCTCCTGTCTCAGCGCTGCCATTTCTACAACTGAACCGAAAACTATTGGCGACATTCTGCCTGAAACGTCACGGAGGAGAGCGCGTGGGGGCGGAGCTAACGCACGCATGCACGCACGCGCACTCACGTAAACACACACACACACACACACACACACACACACACACACATATACCGACACGGGAAGTGCGAAGAAAAGAAACTGTTGTACTTTCGCTTTGCAGGTCACCCCCGTTGGTCATTTAGTTATTTATCTTGTTGTCTTTTATCATTTTTTTTTGTTCTGGGGTTGGTCCAGGTTGCAACTAGGTTTTTGGTAACAAATGGTACATTTTGACAACACAACACACACACACACACACACACACACACACACACACACACGCAAAGGGAGGGATGAATATACTTGCAGACAAATGTATGAGTGGAAAATTATATTCATGTTTATCTGTGCAGTGCAGAGAAACTTTGTACAGATTGTAATTAAAATTGTAGGATAATCAAATCAACATTTATGCTAAACTTAATTTATTAAGGCAAATAGTCTGTGCTGTTAGTTTCAGCTTTATTTTTATTTTGTAGGCTATTGAGACAACAACATGCAGTTTAGTGTCTAACAGGGGCAGATCTAGATTAACATTCATGGGGTGGCAAGAGGGTGGCATGGAGACTTTAAAGGGTGTCAGAGAAATGCAGATTTAACTTTAAAGAACATCACAGGCTACAGAAGCAGGAGCGCTCCCATAATATGTGAGGCCACGCTACACCATGAGCTTAACACTTCTTATGCTCACTTTGATTTCCTCAACAAAGCTGTAAAGTCTACTACTGGACTAGTAGCTGGGTAGGTGCCACTGCTGAAAGTCCCCTTGAGCAAGCACCAAACCCCTAACTTTTCCTAGGATGCCACAATGTGACAGGTTTGTTCTTCAGTCCAAAACCCATGTTTATTTTCTATTGAATAAGACAAAGAAAAGCAGTAAATCTTCATATTTAAGAAGCTGCGACCAGAGAATGTTTTAAATTGTTGATCGAAGTTTGACTAAAAACATGAATAAATTATCAAAATAGTTGTTAATGCAAAGCTATCTCTGTTATATATAATTATATATTATATAATGCAGAACATCTTATTATTATGTATATATAGCTGGTCAAGGTTGAGCTAATTTTAGCTGGTATTTATACTGTTGTGTAGTTTATTTTATAATAAAGCCATTACATTTTATAAGATGATCACTGTAGCTGTATGATTAAAAAAGAGTAAAAAAGTACAATATTTCCATCTAAAATGCAGTGGAGTAGAATTCAAAAGTAGTCAAATAAAAGTACCCATTAGAACACAGTACTGAGCAAATTATACTTTTACTCGCTGTGTGTCATTATCATTTCTGTGTGTGTCAGAAAAATTAAAGACAAATATGGGATTTAGATTAATTTAATCCCTGATGAACAACATGCTTTGGCTGTGGATTAAAGAGCCTCATCACAGTCAGTAATGCTGTGTTTATTGACAATATGAATATGTTCTCAACGTCTATTATTAGTATTGGTAATTCTGCTCCGGCAGCATTGATGTTTCCTTCACAAACAGTTTTCTTCAGAGATTGGACATATGATTCTAAAGCACTCGACATAACAGACTTGATATAATGTGTGATATTTTGTTATTGTTGTCACTTGACCTTTGGAAAATCATGAAGTGACGAACAACTTTGCGAAGGTGCATTAATGTAACAACTGGATAACTTTTTTCTATTCATAACATCTTTTAAAGCCAGTTGTGACATTTTATATCACCCTCTGTGAACTTCAGGTAACATATAAGACTTGGGGCCTAAAGACTTTAGCTTTTAGATGAATGATGCAGTGCTTTATTATGAGGACCCAACATACCATAAATGTTTGTGAATTATATTTGTAGTCATCTGAACCTACTGGTCAACTGGGGTGCAGAATTAAATATGCACCTATGCAAAGAACAAACTCTTATACTAAGAGTACTAATATTAAGTTTATTGGATTATAGGATTATTGGAATAATTTCCTTAAATATCCCCTCCAGACATATTAAGACATATATAAAAAGGCATCTACTCATCTAATACCTCATAAAAATGGCCATAATCTTTGAATATGCAAATATTGTTAATTTCTAAAGTTTTCTGCTGGACACAGGATTTTCCTACTTCAAGTCCATTCTCAGTGTATGTGCACTGGTGGCTTCAAGTTTCTACATCACACTTGTTGTAAATTGGACCATGTTGACTTCCAAACTTTTTGTGAGGTGAAATCTATAATGTCACAAATCCTGCTTGTAGGCCCCACCTTTTAAAATCTAATTTTCAGTGAGCACAGAGAAACTTTCCACTTTCAGCAGATGAATGTGAAAACATCATTCTAGTGTCAAATTATGCACGTACATCATTCTGTACAGGGAAGCTCAAACATCAAACTGCAGGAAAAAGAAGAAACACCGGTTTTTGAGTGGAGATCCACTTTATTTCAGAGATATTAAGGCTACGATTAAGCCATCCCCAATGAGTATCATTTTTTCGCTGAAACAAGCAAATTAAACTTTATTTACCTACCTGAGAGTTCACAGGAGAATAGTCCTCCACACTTCTTGGTTACACGATACTATGTCTTTTCTAGACCTGGAAAAGGGTTCAACTGAAAAGTGCTTCAGTCACTGGCAACCCTTTATTTCCTACTTTAAGAATTTATCCTCTCTCTCCACCGACTAATTGGTTAATATCATCAAGCCTAGCTATTTTTTTGATAATCATTTTTTGTTATTATGCATTTCACATCACTGGACTACATTTATTCATTTTATGTGCACGTTTGTGTATATATGTCTATTTACATGTGTATTTATGTATTATATATATATGATGATGATGATGATTATTATTGGATGTTTGGGTCTAATGAGTTTAAATAAAAGTTCTAATAAAACTTTTTTTATGACTCTGCTACTGTCGCAAACATGCTCATTAAAAACATGATTGTTTGTTTTGAATATTGTGATATACCCAAATTATTCCGAAGAGTGAAGTGTGCCTCTGTCCTTTACACTATACTGCATATTTAATCTGTAATCTCATGTCAGATTTACAGCCTGCAGGTTATTGCTGGCACCTCTTAAAAAGTGAAAATATAAATCTCCCAATGTAACTCAAAGCAAATTAAGTTAGAGTTTGTATTTCCTGAGATCTTATTGGTAGATTGCGTTCATGGAAACTGTGTTATGGGGCACGACGGTGAAGTCATTAAGAAGCTTACAGACGTTCTGGCAGATTAGGTTTTTCTCTTCTAATCCTGCAGATTACCACTGCACAAGCCTGCTGGCTGGGAGTGCTTCATTGCGCTGCGCAGTTTCTTTACATTGATCATTTTTTTGTTGCTGCCACATCACTGGACTACGTAAACTAGGACGGACACAAGCGGGAGAGAGAGGAGGTCAAAGTGCAACAGAACTGCAGAAACTACGCAGTTGTAGGCCGGACAAAGCCTTTAAAAACAAAACAAAACTGTAGATGAAGCCAGGATTTAGGGATGCACTTTGAGTTGGATTTAATGAAACACAACATGTATTTTTGCAAATATTACATCATGGAGATATTCTTTTTGTTTTGAGAACGTGTGAGTGGCAGAACAACAACAACAACAACAACAACTAATAACTTGCACCTAAGTGGAAGATTGGCTGAACAAGGAGGATCCTCTCTTTTGCAGGCTAATGCAAATAGTGTCCATAGCTCTCTGTAGTGAAATGGAGACAGAGCCATATTGTGAAGAGCACAAAGACACCGCAGTGGAGCCTACAGAGCCTGGGGTAAGAGAGGCCATTTCTGAGATTGCTGACAGGGACAGTCACAACACCGAGCTGCCCTGTGAGTCTGCAGAGGAAGGCGAGGAACTGTGTGGGAAAGATCAGCCTGAAACAGAGAGCTGTGCAGGAGAGAGTAAAAGCACTGAGGTAAAAAGCCATTCTGATCCTGATCAAGAAAGTGGAGGCACAGAATGCAAAGAACGGAGGAAACTGAAAAAAACAAACAGCTGGAAGATGGTGCGATTCCAAGACCCATCGGAGGAGGATGCTGTGTTGGAGAGGGACAGCTCAGCAGAGAGTCTCTTTCCAGAATATGCGATGAAGGAGTGGACTTCATCGACCTTTGAGGAACTGTTCATGGCAGAAGATTGGCAGGACATCACAGGTATATCCGGGAATGGTAGAGACACACTTTAGACCTGGTAGTAGCTCTTCTTGCATCAATAACCTATAAGTAACTGGTGCTTTTCATTGACTTTAACCTTTAAATATTATTTTGCTTTGAATCCCTGACCACAAAAGAAGTGACCCAAACATGTCTGAGATCAAACTTAGTATTTGTGGCTGTTTCTGAACATGTGTTTACCAACAACTAGCAGATTAAACTGGCTTCCTGCTGCACGACCTTCTCTTCTTTCCACATGCAGAGGACCGGCTGTTGAGGAAGAAGGTGCTGGAGTCCAAGGCCCCAAACACCCTGCCCCCCACCTGGGGCCAAGAGGTTACTGTGAAGATGCAGTGTGTCTTGGAGGACCGCACTGTGGTGGAGAAGGACTGCAAGCTTGTCTTTGTTATCGGAGAGGGAGATGTAAACCAGGTAAAAGCTTTCATCACACTTGGTAAACAAGACTAAAACTCTACAGCCATCCTAGCAGCTTTATGAGGCTCCCGTAGTGATACGCATTGCCCTATTTAAGAAACACTGCACAAGATAGGAACTAGTTTTGCGGCCACAGTGGGAGCGAGTGGGATTCAGTTTGTTGCAATCTGCAACCTCAGCAACAGATGCCACGAAATCCTACACATTGGATATTTAAATGTTTTTTGTGTAATTATAAAATGTGTAATTCATGATTAATTCAGTAAATAACATAATAACATGTTTTGTTTGACACCTGAAGGCCCTGGAGGAGTGTGTGATATCCATGGAGAAGGGTGAGATCACGTTACTGCTGGCAGATTCCCAGTATGCTTATGGACTTCTGGGAAGGTAAGCATTTTCCTGTTTTGTTGTTTAATGGTAAACTATTGAATTAAGGAGTGTGTAGTACGGAAGCAGAAACAAGACCATGGCCAGTTATAATTGTTTCTAAGTATCATCTCATCTCACTTGTTGCTGTGGGGGCAGCCTGGTCATCCAGGGGTAGTGGAGTTAATGAACCATAAACCGGAGCAGATGGCTTCCTCCTAACACCATTCAGAGGCAGCCTATCAATGGTGTGTTTGTAACCCCCCAGCCAATGGGAGGACTCTACTCATATTACGGCCAGTGTTTTAGATTTGTAACCTTTACACCGTTAAAGAGCCAGTACGCATAGAGGAGATTGGTGTGTCGCTGATGAAAACCCATTGTTTGTGTTTGTTTGTTTTAATGTTTACTTAAACAACCTGAACATGTGAGAACGAGACATTAATGTAGCACAGTGATTTGATGAGTTGGTGTGCAATATATCAGTGAAAATATTTGAAAGAGAAGGTCTTTGAAGGTGGAGCTAGATGAATGATAAGATAATGATAGATAAATGTGTTTAATGTGATTTAATTTGTTTGCTGGTTGATTATGTAGCAAATTACTTTGTGTAGTTCTTGCTGCTGTAAGGCTTTCTAAGTAAACAGTAATATACTGTATGTTATGCTATTTCATAAACAGCAAAATTGCGACCATTAGTTTCAAACTGAAAGCGATAATAACTTTATGCCAGTGTTTATACAAGCCCACACCCATTAGAGTAAATTAAACATTATTATATAGTTTCAAACACTCAACCTAGAGCCAGCATTGTGCTCTGTGAGTGGACAGAAGTTCTCCACTCAGCTATTGTCAACTGAAACCCCAAATGTTATTAATATAAAAGCTTGATGAACCATAAAGTAAAGAGTTTACCTTCGTTTTTGAGGTTATGTGCTTTGCTACATGTAGGGCATTTGTACCATTAAAAGAGTAGAGGAGTAATAAAACAAACACGCGACAGGATACAGAACTAAATTCATGATTTGAATCTTGTTTTTTTATAGGCTGAAAGTAACACAGTAAATCTGAACATTGTTTACAACATAAATGTACTAAAAATTCTGTTGTGAAAACATGTTTTTGTTTCACTGCGTTTGTACTGTACAGTTTCAACCTCTTCTGTGTGTGAGGTCCTGTTTGTATTATGGAGCTCTGTAAAGGGGATGATGGGACATGGGGTGCGTGAGGCGAGAGCGAGGAGTCTCTGAGGTGTTGTCTAGAGTCTCGCCCTCTGTCGCATGTGGAGAAGGAGGCCGAGAAAAAGGGGGAGGCAGCAGGAGGTTAGTTAATGATTGTTTTGATGCAGCTGATTAGGGTTGTGTGCTGTGGAGTCAAATTTAGTCGTACCATAAGGTAGACAATCAGAGCTTCGTGCCAGCTCTTTAAACATGATTCAGTTACTGAGGTTGCTTGCTGCTCTGAATGTGATTTCCCCCCGTCACTGGGGTTAAATAAATTTGTAAATGCTTTGGTATGACGAGTGGGAAAATGAAGAACATATGTAATGAAACAGCATGTTACAAACTACCAAACTCAGCGAGGTAAAAAGGTTAAAACCCATAATGGAAAAATCCTCAGTCTCTGGTGCCCTTAAAGGAAAAGTTAGACATTTTGGAAAATATTCAGGAGAGTTAGCCAGCAGCCAGCTAGCTTAGCTTAGCATAAGGACTGGAAATTAGGTGAAACACCTACATGCACATCTAAAACTCTCAAATGAAACAGGTTATATATTTTTTGTTTAATCCGTACAAAACAGGAAGGGTATGAATGACAATTTGCCAACCAGTGGCGACTCAAAGAAGTTACTGGGCATAGCTAGTGTGTATAAATGTGCTAAAAGAGTGCCATTCATTGAACATGCTCATGTTTTTGGTGGACGATGGACTGTTTTTTTCATGTTTTTTTACGAGTTTTGGCCACCGTAGTTTCTCCTACAAGTTTGGAGGGCATGCGGTTATTCAGTTGGTTGCAATTTGCGACTTGCTAGATGCCACTACATCCTACATATTGGTTCTTTGAGCAAGACACAGAACTACTGGGGCCGCCCAGTTAGCTCAGTGGGTAGAGCTGGCGACCCATGTACCGAGGCCGAGTCCTTGCTGCAGCGGCCCAGGGTTCGAAGCTGACCCGCGGCCCCTTGCTGCGTGTCATCCCCTCTCTCTGTCTCCCTTTCCTGTCTGTCTTCAGCTGCCTCTATCATAAAGGCAATAAAAAGCCCCCAAAAAATATACTTAATAAAAAAAGACACAGAACTACTATGTGCTCATTCTTTGCATGTTGATGTGAAGATATACATCTGCTAATCTATTAATAAATAAGTTATTTGAACAAATAAGCAGAATCACAAGTAGTGACAGACTGCCACAGCATGTCTGTGCTGTAAAATGACAGCGAGACAATAAGGGAAAATCTCATTAGCCTCTCTCGGTTTTCTGTCAGATGCATTGATTGAACTCTGTCAGTAGCCTGTTGCAAACAGTGCTGCTAAGAGCACTTCACAGTTATTTATCAGAACAGAGTGCAAAGCTGGTCAGACAGTATGATTCAACACAGCACAGTGGAGTGGTCTGTAGCTCAGTGTGTGGGTGATGGGCTAGCTGCAGTGCCTGATGTGATCATAGCTGCAATTCCTAAAAAAAGGGTAAAAGAAATGATAATGAAACCCATGGGAAAGTCTGGAGCATTTACTTGATTATTGATTACAACAGACAAGCTGGTCAGGACTTAGTCTTTTGTAAGAAACGCTGAGGTCCCTGTGTCATTGAAGTCCTGAGTCTTTAAAGTGGAGATGTGGCGAAAGACTCCATCACAGTCGCATTTAAGGAACAGCAGCGTGCGTCAAAACTATTCCCCACTGAGACAAACTGATTAGTCATAGACACAGACTGCCTCCCCTCATTCGTTATCAGAGAGCAGTAGAAGCTAACATCTGTTGCTCTCTGGACAGGTGCAACTTTAACACTCATAAACCCTCCAGGGTCCAGAGGGTGACTGCCTCATCAGCCCTGCACAACCCCAAAGTCGACAACATTAAGTGTCATTGGCAGCTGCTTTATTTTAATTTGAATAAAATTATACTTGCCAAATAAGAAACCTGAGGTTAGCCTACTTTTACTATTGTCACTTGAAGTACAGTTTGCTGATAACATGTCTGTACTTTTGTTTAAAGGACCAGTGTGTAGGATTTAGTGGCATCTAGTGGTGTAGTTGCAAGAACATTACAAAAATTGCGGTACCAAAAATATACCAAACCAAACCATGAATTTTGCAAACCATTCCACCCCTAGGAGTTACTTTTTCCTACCAAACACTCTCCTCCTTGTGCTGTCAACAGACACATTGGGGTGATGTCCATGCAAATGGTTCATCATATTAGAAGTATTACTGCTAGCATAAGCTAAACGTACTGCACAGTGCTTGCACACAGTCGCCGTTTTATCCACTACTTTTTTCCGCCATTGTCGTAGTCATAGATAATGCGTAATGCATAATGCTTCCATACAACTGTAGGCTACTCTGTCTTGTCCACTTACCATTTCAAAGACTGACTGACAGCTGCATTCTACACTGTTTTACAATTTATTTGAACTTTTCATGTTATATTTCAAATGAACTGAACAACACATACATGACCCCAACCCTTGACTCGTGAACTTAATGGTTTGGATTTCTTACTTGAACCATTTCATTCCTGATTTGAATCAATAACTTCATCATTTATTACTGTGTTGTGCCCCTCAAAATAAGTGATACATTGTACTTAGTAGTTACTAAGTAATCCCTTATTACTTCATAATTATGACAAGTAGCTAGTAGAGTTTGTTAGACAGATACATTTATTGTCATAAAATATTCTCTTGAAAATCATCATTATCTATTATATAATCATACATTCTGAGTTGTTTACTAACTGCTTACTGTAAAGTGTTCATTATGTTTGAGTGTCACAGTGAGGCAAGGACAACCTTTTCTTCCCTTGTAGTAGCATCTACCGAAGGAAATGGAAAAGGACCCAGAATTTAACCCTGATGTCTCCCTCATGAAATAACGGATAATAAATTACATACAGAGACTGTGAACCACAGCATGCAAGTATAGAAGATAATCGCATACTAAACAAATACCCTTTAATGGAACAGGAGTGGAGACACACCAGATGGTTATCATCGTCCATTTCTGAGGGGAGAAAAACAAATAAGTCCTACTGTGGGAGGAGAGAGAGGAATCTCCCTTATTTTGACCCCACAGGATGTGGGACTGATCACTGTTGGAGCCTTGATTACACCAAGATTACTGATCTGGCAGTACAGTAGCAGGGTTGAGTGGAGGTTTGCTTTGTGGGAAAGTACTGTAACTCTTACCTTGATGAGTGACGGTTATTGCATAATATTCATCATCTGTCAGTAGATTTTGCCTGCCTGAGTCAGCCTGACTGCCAGGCTGCCATAGTGTGCAAGCAGAATAAATAGTGGTAAAATGAAAATAAAACATATCAGACTTTTTCAATACCTGAAAAAAATCCTTATTTCAATGGAAGTTCACCAGCCTTCCAAATTTTAGACTGACATTAAGAAAAAAATTGAAAATTGCAGAAATCAGGCAATATAAAAAGACACCAAAATAAGAGTCTACAGCCATACCAGTATCTCTGTGAGGCTCACAGTGACAAAGCTTCCATGCTGATGTTTAGCAGGTATAATGTTTACCATGTTCCCCATTTTAATTTAGCATGTTAGCATGCTAACAACATACTCAACAGTAAACACAAAGTACAGTTTAGGCTGATGGGAATGTTATGTCAGATATTAACCGAAGTTTTGCAAATCGCCCTAAGGGGAACATGGCTATATGAACCAAATGCCATAGTAATGGATCAGATCATTGTTGAGATATTTCACTCAAAACCACAAAAATCAACCCCATGGTGGCACTAGAGGAAAAATCTGAGGATCGCCAAAGTTATTAGGCTTAATCCTCTG